GCTAGGGCGAAGTCAAGACAAATGATTATCCCCCTCCCGTCCGTCCTGCGGTGGCCCGCGGTGTCCCGCAGTGTCCCGTGGTGTCCCGTGGTGTCCCGTGAAGATTAATCATTCTTCCTCTCCCGCCCGTCCGGCGGTGGCCCGCGGTGTTCCGCGGTGTCCCGTGGAGTCCCGTGGTGTCCCGTGGTGTCCGCCGTTGCTAGGGCGAAGTCAAGACAAATTATTCTTCCCCTCTCGCCTGTCCGTCCGTTTGTCCGGCGGTGGCTCGCGGTGTCCCGCGGTGTCCCGTGGTGTCCCGCGGTGTCTCGTGGTGTCCCGTTGTGTTTCATTAAGTGAGATCGATAGTGAGACCGATATTGAGATGGATACCAAGATCGATGTGATGCCCTGAGGTGTCCAGTGGTGTCCCGTGGTGTCCCGAAAAACGAGATCGATAGTGAGACCGATAGTTAGATCACAAGGTGTCCCGTGGTGTCCCGCGGTGTCCCGTGGTGTCCCGTTGAGTGAGATCGATCGTGAGATCGATAGTGAGTTCGATACTGAGATCGATGTGGTGCCCCGAGGTGGCCGTGGTGTCCCGAGGTGTCCCAAAAAGTGAGATCGATAGTGAGATCGATAGTGAGATCGACAGGTGTCCCGTGGTGTCCTGTTGAGTGAGATCGATAGTGAGATCGATAGTGAGGTCGATAGTGAGATCGATGTAGTGTCCCGAGATGTCCCCCGGTGTCCCGTGTTGTCCTATTCTGTCCCGTTGAGTGAGATGGATATGAGATCGATAGTGAGACCGATCGTGAGATCGGGAGGTGTCCCGCGATGTCCCGTGGTGTCCCGTGGTGTCTCGTGGTGTCCCGTGGTGTCCCGTTGAGTGAGGTCGATAGTGAGATCGATTGAGTACATACATGATGATGATGATGATGATGATGATGATGATGATGATGATGATGATGATGATGATGATGATGATGATGATGATGATGATGATGATTATGTGGCTGGCGTGGACCCCAACCAGTGGCATCCTACATTCTCGGTGCGCATTCAACGTGTTGCAATTTGTGGTATTCTATGTATCCACTGCTACCTCGGTGGTGCAACACATGCGGTGCAAGCTTTTTGGTACAAGCCACGGGGGGGCAAGCTATGTGGTGAAATCCACCTTGCAGAGCCTGAAGCTGACAACTCCACTGCTCGTGCGATCCTCCCACTGTCGCACCCGCAGCATTCTTTGCAACAGAACTGCTTGGCCACGGCTGACGCATCTTTGCGGCCGCGCTGGCGCGCGCTAACTCGCGCGCAGAGCGGCCAGCTGGTTTGGTGCTGCCGGTGCGGCCGCGATTGCGCTTACCGATTTGGACTTCCCATCGCGCGTCAAAGGCCACGCTGGCGCGCGGGCGCTTCAATGCGGGTCGGTGGCTCGGAAGGGCGCGGTATATGATGTCGTCGGCAGCAGCGGCAATGATGATGATAGCAGCGATGGTGGTGACGATGATGACGGTGACGACGGCACGGCCAGTGACGGCGCCGATATTGGTAACGCCGATGACGCTGATGTCCATGTGTCGCTGCTGAGGTTTTGGAATGATTTGGACATGCGCTCGCGGCCGACGTGCCCGAGTGGCCCGAGTGGTTTCATTTGACAGGGATCGTGCCCCCCCGCTCCCCGCAAGCCCGCGAGCGCGTTCGAAGGAATTCGACGTACGCTGGCGAGAGGCCCGCGTGGTCTCATTTGATGTATACGTGGAACAACTTCCCTTGTTGTTTTCCCCCTTTGAATTCGCAAGAGAGCGCGCCGATTTTCTAGGACAAGCCATTGTGGTATATTCTTTCGGGAAACTGGAACTGAAATCCTTACGAGCAGTAAGGCGTTGGACGGATTTCGGCATTCGCGCGCGACCCCGCGCGGGTGTGGACTTATTTGTTTGATGTAGCAAGGGGTTCTTGAAACGGATCTCTCCTGATGAACAGGAGATGAGGGGTGGTGGTGGCGATACGCGTATCCCCCGGGATGATATGAGGTCATAGGAGAAGTAATCGATGGGGCAGACTCATATGTATAGTGCAGGGTCCCAGGGAGGGGGATACGCACGGCATAGGGAGGGTGGCAGGTTCCTTTCTTCCTTTGAGGCGGGGACAGCACTGGAAGGTATAGGTCGCCAACTCACGTTTTCGCGCAAGCATCCCATCCGTCCACCCACAACTTGCTGGCAAACTTCATCTGGTGCAATGGCGCGATGATCCCTCCCATGCAGATCCATGACCCCAGCGGGCGGGTGATGCTGGTGACGACGACATCGGCGACGGCGACGATATGTTTTTGTTTTGGCGCTGATGCCTAGAGCAGCGTTAATGGCGATGACGACGACAATGGTGATGGTGATGGTGATGGTGATGGTGGTGATGATGGTGGTGATGATGATGATGACGATGCTGATGATGACAACGCTGATGATGATCATGCTGATGATGATGCTGATGATGTTGGTAGCGATGATAACGACGACTCTGCTGATTGTAATGGAGATGTTGACGATGCTTTTGATTTTGAAGGTGATGGTGATGGTGGTGATGACTAGTATGCTGCCCATGGTGATGATGGCGACACTGCTGATTGTGATGGGGATGGTGGTGTCGATGATTCTGAAACCTAGACGAATATGACGATTACTATACGGTCAACCTGAAGCTGACGATGCTGATGTTGAGTATAATGCTTGTTCTGATGATGATGACGATGATGACGTGGGCAATGATGGCACTGCCAACGATGATGACGACGGTGCTTATGAGGATGATGAGGAAGTGAGCGAGAAAACACACTCTGACATACTTCTGTTTGAAGCGCAACGTACGCGAACATCCTTCAGCACCGTCGGGAAATCAACGGTTTTGGTATCTTCGGGCTCTTCGAGGGGGCCTAATGGAGCCCTTTTGTGGCGTCTTGGGGGTCTTTGCGCCGCGTTGAGACCATGTTAGGCTGTTTTGGATACATCTTGGGCCATCTAGGACGCAACTTGGGCGAACTTGGAGGTCTCCTCGACACTCTTGGGCCACCTTGGAGGTCATTTCAGCCGTTTTGGAGCAATCTTGGGGCATTTTGAAGGTGAGAGTCCTTGCCTAAGATTTGTATCTGGGTGGCTGGCGCAATCCGCAAAACATCGATTGGGAGCCTTATGGAAGGATAAGACCAACAAGCACATCGGCACGCCAGGTACTCCTGTGGCAAGCACAGGGGGCGGGGGCGGCGGATCTAGTGGCCTTCGGCCCAGCCCGCCATCGTGCCTTGGTTGTAGACCAGAGGCCTCTTCGATGTCTCTTGGAGTCTCGTGGGAGGCCTCTCGGGTACTTGTTTGGGGTCTTTTTGTTGCCTCTTACGGGCCTCTTTGGGGACCCTTTGTTGGGGCCTCTTGGGGACCTCTTGGCGGCTTCCTGGCGGTGTCGGAGGCCATCTGGGGCCGAAGGACTCCAAATGTCAAGTCGTGTTCCTCCCTCCAGGGCCCGAAACATTGAACAGCAATGTGGTTTTGAATTATTGTTGATTTCCCGTGAGGTCATGGGAGCTAGCCCAGGAAAGTAGTGCCTACGGCACGGTGGTGGATCTATCTGGGTTGCATACAGATTTGCATTCCGATTTGCACTGCCCACGTGACAAGCACGAGAGAATCCACGGGACACCCCACCGGATAACCGGCGGGACAGTCTGTAGGACAACCTGGTGGATAAGCCATGTTAGAACACATGGCGCAACCACGGGGCAACCCACAGGACCACCCCGCGGGCCCTGCGAGATGGGGACAGGAACGTTTTGCCCGACTTGGCCCTGGACTCGCGAACAACTGTGGGTATACACGGCAATGGCAGGGCATACACATGTGCGCCAGGAGAGCTAATGTCCCCAGAACTTTCCAGAAAGCCTCCTCTGGTGCATTATGAGCACAGTTGCTCCAAACACCCGAGGAACTCCTGAGAGGGCTCCCATACTTTTGAAACAGATGTTCGATTCATCGCCCTTTCAGTCTTCGGAGCGACTACGCCCCAAGAAGCCCCCGCCGAAAGACAGCCTCGAAGGGCTCCAAGAGGGGCCCACGACGACCCGCGAGGGCCTGGCGAAGGGGCCTCCAAGACGGCCCTAAATGGCCGCAATGCGGCCCCAAGAGATCCCAAGAAAACTGGAGGGGCTCAAGCTGGCGCAGAGGGTCTCAAGACGGCCCAGGACTGTTCTAGAGGAATGCACTTCCCAAATTGCCTCAATACGCACCAACAGGCCCCAGGGCGGTCCCAGAAAGCTGAGACAACCCAAGAGTGGAAGAGGATATAAGACCACATAGATCACGCGCAACTGAGGCCACTAACAGCAATGGAACGGTGTATAAATGCATGCCGGGGCAGCAGCCGTTCGCAGAACATTCTGGAAAGTCTCCGCCAGGGCATTCTGAACACAATTGCTCCAGCCACCCGAAGACAATTCAAGAGGTCGGAGGTTGATAGACCTCCTGCCCTGACGCGTCGATTAGCGAATTGGCCGTTTTCGGTTCGCGAGAGGGCGTCGCGGCCGTCGTTTTTGCGGGTCCAGGCCCGTCGGTTTCGGTCCTGGGCCGTCTTCACTACAGGGTGGTTTACCAAAGGGAGGTTTGCCCACCGCCGAAGAGGGCCCGAGAGCCGCCTCGAGCCGACATCACAGACTTTCGAGTGATCCTGGAGGGACCCGGCATTCCGACCGCTGGCACTGGGGGCTGGGGCTCCCCAGTTTCCCACATCCTCCCTTGGGGCTGAGGGGGAGTTCTCACTTCCCCCCTCTGCCAAGCGCCCGCGAAAAATGATCTTCCAAAGATGATGGTGGTGATGGTGATGTCTGATTTTGACCATGACGATGGGGAGGTGGAGGTGGAGAAGGAGGGGGGAGGATGAAGGGGGGATGGAGGGAGGAGGGAGGTGGCGTAGGCAGTAGAGGAGAAGGATGAGGTGGAGACAGCCTGGAAGGGTGCCGAGGGCGAGGCCGCCGCAGCCGTGCCGGCGCTCCAATGAGCCTCCCCGCGCGCCGATCATGCCGGGCCCCAGCCTGCGGCCGAGGCAGGACACGGCGGCCGCGGGCTCTGCCGCCGCTTCCAGCCAAACCCGCGAGGGCTGGGTGGCTGGCGCGGCGAGGGAGGACCGCCGCGGGCGACGCACGGCGACGTCGACGGTCAGAGGAGGATCGGGTGTAGCCAGGACCCCGGGTGAGGGACCTGGTTGGTAGTAGGGCCCTGGTGCCCTTAAAAGTGGCCAGAATCACTAACAAGGTCTGCCGTAGCTGGTGCTTTTTCGGGTGACGGCAATTCCGGTTAGTGGAACTCGGCGGGGGGAGCGTTCCCCAGTACACGTCATTAAGCCAGGTCCCACTAAACCCAGGTTTGCCAACGCCCGAGAGGAGCAGTTATCCATGTCTGCTCGTGATTGTTTTTTTAGTGATTGTTTTGCTGATCGGCGCGGGCCCTCGCCCCCCCCCCTCCCCTTCCCCCCCCTGGAGTAGATCCTGGTTGTTTCTGGCACCTCTTCCGAAAAGCTGGGATCTCCCCCACAGGACACTGCTGCAGACAGTGGCACTAAGCAGAGGTCCAGAGCCAGACCCCCCCCTTCCGTCCATCAGGAAACTTGGAGGTTGATGGACCTCCTGCCCTGACACGTCGATTAGCGAATTGGCCGTCTTCGGTTCGCGAGAGGGCGTCGCGGCCGTCATCTTTGCGGGTCCACAGGGTGGTTGACCAAAGGGAGGTTTGTCCACTGCCGATAGGTCTTCCCCAACGGTGTCCGAATACCGAAGATCGGCATCAGCAGCGCACTCGGGGGCGGGCGCGGGGACTTCCTGGGCCAGCGCCGCGCTCCTCCGTCGGGGCAGGCGCCGCCAGGGTGCCTCCAGGGCGCGCGGCGAGACGCGCCTCGTCGGCGGGGTGCGGGGTCCGGCGCCGACCCAGGAAGTGTTCGCGGACCTGCGGGAGGCTGTGCTCTCGCCGCCATGCTGTACTGCGTGCGCTGGCTCTGGCCCTGGCCTGGCCAGGGCGGCGTCCTGTTGGCACCCTCTCCGGGACGTGGCCGGCTGGAGCTCTCGACCAGTTCTTTGAAGCCAGTTTTCTTTCCCGAGGCCTTTTTTTGGAGGGACCGAGGCGGCCCCCCCTGACGGATCTTACGATGATGGTCATGATGATCATAGGGATGTTGATGATATTGAGAATGATGGTGATGATCGTAGTGATGATGATGGCGATGTTGGTGATGTTGGTGATGATGTTGCTGCTGATGATGCTGGTGATGATGATGATGCTGATGATGCTGATGATGATGCTGCTGATGCTGATGATGATGATGATGATTATGATGATGATGATGATGATGATGATGATGATGATGATGATGATGATGATGATGATGATGATGATGATGATGATGATGATGCAGAAGAGCATGAGGAGGAGGAGGAGGAGGAGGAGGAGGAGGAGGAGGAGGAGAATGTGTTCATGTATGGCGCTGCGACTGGGTAAGATGGACGCACCTGTGCAGCAGCTGGGCATCATGTGGTACGGAGTTCGCCCCGCCGATGTTTGGCTCAAGGGCCATCGGCCTCTATGGAAACAACTCTCGGGGGAGCGTAAGACCCGGGTTTGCCAGGACTTGGGTTCGCCATCGTTTTTTGACGACCGCGACTCGGATTTTGACGAGTAGGAATTTCGTGGGATGCCTGCAGCGGGAGGCCTCGTCAAAATGCAGGCTCGGCCTCGTCATTTTTTTGACGACCTCGTCGGGGATTTCCGAGTCCCCTGTACCCGGGTCTTACGCCCCCCTGAAACTCCTACATTCTCATGGTAGCGGAGCCCGTGGTTAGCCCCACAGTCTCCGGTGCGCGCGGTTAACTCCGCGGAGCTCCAGCCTCCCTGCGATGGCCGCAGCAGCGGCTGCTCCGGCCGCGCCAAGCCCGAGCACGGCCGTCCCAGGTTCCGACATGACGTTATCTGATGTCCGAGAGGCCTGGTGCAACCTGGGCACGAACCGCTTGGAAGAATTGTGCAACGCCGGCTACGAGAACGGATCTATCAGGTACGTAAACATTGCTTTCAAAAACCAATCGTGATGGGATGGTGTTGTTCTTCGAGCACAGCGCCATGCTGGGCTCGAAGACGGTTAATGGTGATGTGCGTTCACGATGTTACATATGGGCTTCAAGTGCAACGTGTCTTGCGAGGAGCAGCCCAGCAAGTCGAATAGGACGGGATTCCAAAGTCAATCAAAGGAAGTCATCGGAACATGTTCCCAATCTTTCCGGAACCATACAGCGTGCTGGAAACAAGCTGGCCGGAGGAGGCGGACGCAAATCTGTCAGCGAATACAAGGCCTCTCAGCACTCCATGATGTTTTTGGGCGACCGGACCAAACTCAGGGAGTGAAGCTAGCAATTGATGCACGCGCGCGCCAAAATGAAAAGTTGATGTCACAACGCCGTGCAACATTTGAGCAAGTAATTTGACATCATGGATGGTGCGTTACCCGATGGCGTGGGTGACGACTTAAAACAGATTATGGACGGGGAGTCCACCCTGAGCGAATACGCCAACGCGTCGCTTACCAACAACCAACATAACGACGCTAAAGGGAAGTATGAACTCGATGATGATTGCGCACAACTTGACGAGGACATTTTGGCATGTATTGGACGACAGCTTGGAAGGGGCAGAACCACGGGGAAACCGCAGGAGTTTGTAAGAGTGGGAGAGACGGCTCAGTGGCTGACCAGAAGGCATACTCGGTCGTCACAAGGGGGTGCACGATCACGCAAGGTGAGCCTGGCCATGGGCGTCTCAGAGGTTAACGATGCTGCGACCCAGCTTGGACAGTGTAATGCATGTGTAGAGTCCCTGGGGAGGTGCAGGAATGTATGCTCGTTGCCATTGCCGTTCAGGATTCATGTTTTGCGCAACATCATGACCTGCGTAGGTGATTGGTTTATAAATTGGCAGAGTTGTTTATCATTGCCACTTGCAAGGGACTCTTCGTCGAATGTCAGGCTTGGGCAAGCCAGGAAAGACTTGGCGCCGACGCGAGCCGCGTCAACGATGAAGATGTTGGTGAGTGGGGGCACAAACGTGCACGAGTCCAGCTGCTGCGGCAAAGGTATAACATTGTGCGCCTGGAATGGGGGTGACATGAGTGGAAGCCGCGACTCGAGCGAAATTGGCACAGCAAAGGGCAGAGGAAAAGGGCCCATGCGTTGGGCGCGTGGAGGACATGGACAGATCGCCAGAGACCGTGCCACCAAAGGAATCGCGAAATGGAAAGGACGTGGGAAAGCATAGCGCGAGGGGGCCAAGGGTTGCCGGGGGGTGCAAACAGGATGATCCAAAAGGGGGGTATCAGGGACTCGACGGTCGCCCAGGGGACCTTACAAAAGGGTTGTCTCAAAGGAGATGCCCGAGGAGGATGCCAGGGGGGCTCGGCCCCCGGCTGGCGCGTAGGAGGAGGAGGCCAGGGAATACTTGCGCCGGTCGGCGAGAGGGGGCGTTGCAAGTGCGGCGAGAAGGGCGCGATCGCGCGCGCTGCCCTACAGAGCGCCGGCGAGTATCGCCGTGCCAGGGGGGCAGGGGGCCCAGAAGGGGTCCACGCAGATGTTGGGGCACGCCCATGCCTGGGCCAATATTCCACAATGTAGGAATTGGCGAGGCCCCCGACAAGGGTGAAGCTACCGATGACGGATCACCGAAGATGGTTAGAAGGGCCATTGGAAAGGAGGCACATCGCTAGTCGACGAAGAGGAACAGGGGCGCCAGGCCAGGCATCGAGCAAGCAAGCGCATTGCATGACTGTGGAGTTGATTGTTTTAGAGCACCAACTGGGATGACCGAGTCGCGGAAGTATCGAGCAGGAGAAGTATGATGCAGACATGCGCATAACTACAGTTGGCAGAGATGGATGGGGCGCAGCAAGGAAGTTAACGAATTGCCTGTGCGTGATCAGGACATCGGAATGGAACCGACTGCTGTGTTTGTAGATGCAGAAGTCTACAGCGCCGTTGGGCCCCCCGGCGTGGGGGCCCACTTCCCCGACAACCCCGCGGAGATATCCAATGGGAGCAAACGCTAGAGCGCAGCAGATGGGCCAGTCATCAGGGGCCGCGGGCAACGGGTCATCGCGGGAGAAATGAAACGGGATCCATAGCGAGCATGCCCGCCCAAGTAGCCAGTGTCGCGAAGGCGTTCGGGCCCGCGAGTGAGCTGGTCGAGGCGGTGCCGCGTGGTGTTAGATCGAGGCGATGACGTGCGACCGCGCAGCTGCCTCGAGCGTCGGGTGGCGGGGCAGAAGACAGCGATTCGCGGGGGGGGGGGGGGGGGGGGAACTTCCAGCGCGGGGGCGCGGGGGGTGTGGGGTGGGTGGTGTGTGTGTGTGTGTGTGTGTGTGTGTGTGTGTGTGTGTGTGTGTGTGTGTGTGTGTGTGTGTGTGTGGGGCAAGTTGAGGAAGTTCAGTGTCGTGGCGAGAGGGGATAGAGAGCGTGCGCGTGAGAGAGAGAGAGAGAGAGAGAGAGAGAGAGAGAGAGAGAGAAGAAGAGAAAAAAGAGAGATATATAAGAGATAGAGAGAGAGAGAGAGAGAGAGAGAGAGAGAGAGAGAGAGAGAGAGAGAGAGAGAGAGAGAGAGAGAGAGAGAGAGAGAGAGAGAGAGAGAGAGAGAGAGAGAGAGAGAAAAGAGAGAAGGGAGAGGAGGGGAGAGAGAGAGAGAGAGAGAGAGAGAGAGAGAGAGGGAGAATATATATAGAGAGAGAGAGGAGAGAGAGAGAGAGAGAGAGAGAGAGAGAGAGAGAGAGAGAGAAGAGAGAGAGAGAGAGAGAGAGAGAGAGAGAGAGAGAAAACAAAAAAGAGAAAACCAAAAATGAGGGGGAGGAAGAGAGAAATAGAGAGGGAGAGAGAGAGAGAGAGAGAGAGAGAGAGAGAGAGAGAGAAAGAGAGGGAGAGAGAGTGAGAGAGAGAGAAAGCGAAGGAGAGAGAGAGAGAGAGAGAGAGAGAGAGAGAGAGAGAGAGAGAGAGAAGAGAGAGAGAGAGAGAGAGAGAGAGAGAGAGAGAGAGAGAGAGAGAGAGAGAGAGAAGAGAGAGAGAGAGAGAGAGAGAGAGAGAGAGCGAGAAAGAGAGAGAGA